TGTCGGGCTGTGCGTGAGATTTATTTTTACATTTTATTTTCTTTCTTTTTTTTTTAAAGAAAACGAATGTGGCTCCTCCGTGGTCATCAAAGCAGGTCAGAATGCTTTTGTTTTATGTAGCTCTGGTCTAAACGGTTTGCTGGGTTAATAAACGCAGCTTTCAGCTGGTTGTCTCCACATAATGTATTCAAAATCCCTCTAGAGTGACTATCTTTTATCCTCTTGCTGAGAGCATTCTGTTATACAATTGTTACACTGCAGGCTATATAAAGCAACAGTTCAAAAACAGATAAAATGGTGGCATGTGTTCCCAATTAACGTTTCTGTATAGGCAGTGCGAAGCAAAACACACGAGGACTCTTGGAAAAATGATATTTTGTATTTACGCAGTGGACCCATTTTTGACAGAGGCTTAATTTAGTATATTACGTAACACTTCAATTACTAAGATAATACGCGTCAAACAAAAGTAATGTTTCCTTTATTTTACAATCAGCCGTTTATCACCAAATGTCGTATGTCCTGATGTGATGACAGCATTAGTATTAATTAAATGAAAGTTTAAAAAAAAATGAAAAGCATAAAGCAGCAATAAGAGAAAACTAAACGCACTGTCAGATTAGACCCTAGCTGCGTTGGGTAAAGGAGATAGATGTGTTGTACACTTTAAGCTCCATTTGTGTCTCTGTAATTTCGGAAACTCCGGTTACCAAAGTGTTACTACGAAATGAGTTAAATAACCATTTACCTTTGTCTGGTTTCATTCATCAAACCACAAGTGGAGGACTCCTAACACGGGGGGCTATTTGTTTGCTTTACACAAGCAGCTGGGTGCGATTTCACGTTTGAGATATCTGTCTGAAAGCGAAACATTTATTATCCTAAGTTGTCAGCGAGCCTATTTCTCCAAAACCCTCAATGCAAACCAGTGGTTTTATGCAGCAGTGGAAATGTCCTATTGGCGTCACACGTCACTACATTTCACTTATAGTAGCCCGGCTTCTCCCGGTCACATTTGACAAATACTGTTGTTTGAGACAGTAACAATTTCTAAAACAGCGGCTGCTCGTACTGGTGGGAGATTTGGGGTTGGGGTGGGGGGAGAGAAGACTCTGAAGTGTGACACGGCTTATTTCTCACACTGTCTCGTGCATAAAAAATGACGACAACACGGGACAACAAGTGCTTCACCGGGTCTACCAGGCACATTGAGACAAACTTGCAAAATGGCTGAGAGCACGCAGTGAGGACGAATGTCCGAAATGAAAATGATTCCCGTGACATGTTTGCTGTATCTCTGCAAACAGTCCGAGATTCTAGCTGTGTTCAGAGTGCACGGTCAGTGGAGAGGGGCATATCGTGTGATTACAGTGTGTTGTTCTGAGATCTGTCCGCAGACCACATAGGCAACCTTTAAGCCATGGATCAAATCCAGCCCTTCGGGGTATAGAGTATGCCTAGTTGTGAATGTGACAGAAGGGGGCGCCTCCCTGCATGCACGCACGCGCGTGTGCGCTCCAGTGTTTGTCAAGACTGTGTCATCTGCGCTTGTAGGCAAATGTTCGGCTTTTCACGTATAACTGTGAGGTGTTTGTGTATGTATGCGTGCGGGTTCGCTCCTTGCCCGCTTGTGCGTAAAAGCGTGCATCTACCAACGTAACTTACGCGTGTGTGCGTGCGCCGCTGACCGAGGGAGAGAGGTGATTGTGAAAAAGCCCCGATCGCTGTGTAAGCGGATCCCTTTGTGTTGATTTAGGAAGACGTTTGCTGTATATAACGTTCAAGGCTGATAATATCATTGCCTGGCCAGATAAATAAAGCATTGGCCAAAACCATCGGGTCAGCTATCGATCCGCTTTTTCTCCCTGAGAGAGTGGGGGGTGGTGGGTTGAGGAAAAAGAAGGAGAGAAAGGGAGAGAGAAAGGGAGAGAGACCTCACTCATTAGCATTCCACAGCCATGGACTAAACGCTGACAACTAACAGAGATATCCAGCTCTACACCACTGCATACATTTCCCCCCTTTGTCTTCTTCCCCTGGCCCTTCATTTCCAGCGGACAGATCTCTCGTCACAGCCAACACATTTTTATTTATGCCCTCTCCACTCCTTTTGCACGAATGGACCCCTTGCACAAGAGAGAAAACCTTCTAGTAAAGCAGAGAATAAAAGAGGGGGGGTGATGTTGTAAAAGCTGTGCAGAAGTGACAGCGCTAAGCACACTGGCTTTACTTGAGAGAGATACAATTGTGTGTGACTTGACAAAATAGAAGTGGGAGACGTTTTAAATTGCAACTTTAACTGCCACGATTTAGATATTTTAGGATTTTATTTTTTATTTTTTAAATCTAGACACTACGTGCTTTACTGTGATATTATTAATTTTTATTTCCATTCCGTTTTTAGCTGGATGTTTCTCCATAATGATTTAGATGTATGGGTTTAATGTGGGACCACTTTTTTCAGCTTTAAAACGCCTGTAAAGCAGTTTTCTGTGAAGGTTGTTATTTACGACTGCTCCATGATGTGTGGATAAAATTAACATGAAGGAAGAGAAACAAATGAAAAATAGGCGAAGGTTGAAAAGTTGTGCTGGTTTTTAATTATAGTATAGAAATAATTTACAAATAGCTTGGGTTTAAGTTTGACAGAAATTACGTGTATTTATTAACGAGTAAATTCAAACCGAATATTTCACATTCAAAAGGTAATATGGAGACTGTCATTGAAACAATTTGGACAAGTGGGCTTTTTTTCTTCTTTTTTTCTCTTTTTTTCACTCCCCAAATGGCTATATCTTAATATGGGCTCAAGTCTTGCCCAACAATGACAGCTGTTCATCTGATAGTAACTTCTTTCCAAGTTTTCTCCCCACCCACCCCGGGGCCCCCGGTCTCTGTCTTGCTTTGTTGTTTTAAAATATGCATGTCTCTCCGGAATGCCAGTCACGGGTCCAAACTTTGTGTGTCCCAACCTCCCACATGATGAAATGATCCTTTTAAAGCGGGCTCAATATGTCTCAATCTGCACTCCTCTTCCTTCTCTAAAGCTTCTGGGTTCGGGACACAGCCCAGAAATATATTAATTAAAGCGCACTACTACGGACTTTTTTTTAGCACTGAGGAAGAAGTGGTTGGATCAAGTCAAGCTCTGTCAACGACGGATGGATGAAGATTCATGGCAGAAAAAGCAAAAGAAGAAAAGTAAGGTTCATTTTGACGCTCTCTCTCTCTCCCTCTGTCAATTCATCTCCTCCTCTCTCGCTTTCCTTTGAGTGTGTGTGTGTGTGTGTGTGTGTCTGTGTGTGTGCGTGTCCCTTTTGCTCAGTGTTCGTGTGTGTTCCTCGGACTGAAACGGATAAAGCCAGGGGGAGTGAGCGAGAAAGAGAGAGAGAAGTCTGAGAGAAAGGGGAGGAGGGATGTATATATCCGTAAAAAGTGAAAGAGGATGGACGTTTGTCTATGTTTGTGTGGGTCCGTATACACGCATGTGTAAAGGCTTGTCATGACCAAGAAATGAATAAAAAAAAGATTGGCATTAAACTACAAAGTGCAGGTTTGCTCACTGGTGTGCCGCGTGTGTACAGTATATGAACCCTTGTTTGCGAGAATGGTGGCGTTTACGCGTGTGGAATAAACCACTACCGGGGAAGGAAAAAAAGGAAACCCGGATGGTCTGAAAGGAAATGCTTGGTTTTGAAGGGAGAACGCTTGATTCGGATGTAGCAGAGCGTTTCGGCTCATGAACTCCCAACTCCTTCTGTCATGTCTGAGAAGATGTGTGCATATTTCTCCCTGGCAAAGATATGCCTTTTACAACAGACAAAGACAACTGATCATGATTGATGGGGGGCTGTGTAACAATGAGCCGCTAAGTTTTCAGGGGAAATTTGGAGGAAAGTTTGAAGTGAAACCTGCCAACCTGTTGCTTCTGCTCCAAACATAACAGCAATATCAGCACCATAATAACATCCCGTGAGCCATGCAGCATCTCATCCCATCATAATCCACTACTCCAAAAATGTAAACATACCAGCAGTGGGAATCATTGGGAGACCTGCACAAACAAATTGAATTTAATTACTGTGTTCATTTATTAAATTCAGATACGTTTTAATAGACATCCCAACAGTCTGATTATGTCAACATATGGGAGGCCGTGCAGCAAGGCCCGGGCTTACATACCTGATAACGCCTGGGCTTTTCAGCAATATTTACGGCTTCTCTTTATAATACACTCCAGATGGTGAGTGACTGTGCCACCGCAGTCAGCGAGCTCCTCAATTTTTACTCAGCAGCATTTTGTTGCAATTACATCAGCGCTGGGACAGAATTTATTGGTGACCCACTTTCCCCGCATTATATGCATAAATGACAATTTTAAAAAGAAATTAAATTCGTCTACAAAAAAATGACGTTTTTTTCTTTCTTATTTATTTTATTTATTTATTTATTTTTCGCACGTGACTTTCTACTATTAGGGAAAGGGGAAATAAAACACAAAAATCTCATTAAACACACTCTTCAAATACTCTCCTGTTCACTGCGTGATGGATTAATATGTTATAAAGACAAAACACACAGGCCGCATTCATGGCTGACCAATCTTTGTTGTTGCCTGTGCGGGGTTTTTTTTTTCAGCCAGTCACTCAAGCAGAATAATGCGTGTAAAGATATAATCCACTAAGCCTATACTCTCTGTGCTCCCTTGCTATATTATCCACTGACAATAAATTGGCAAGCTTTTTAGCAGATATCCAGCGTCTCAACTGAAACACGTGCGAAATACACTTGCCAAGGGTTTGTGTAAAAATACAAAATTTGTTTATATATTGCATTACCACATTAAGTTTAGTATGGCATGATGAACGCAAGTGTGTCTGCTGTGGAATAATTCCAATGTTTTGGGGGGTTTTTTGAGTGATAATATAATCATAAACACATTATCTGAACTGAACAAAGCACATTTCGAATCATGAAATCATCTATCTATCTATCTATCTATCTATCTATCTATCTATCTATCTATCTATCTATCTATCTATCTATCTATCTATCTATCTATCTATCTATCTATC